CAGCTCTACATGTGGCTGTGGTCTGGGGTGGGAGACCTCCAGAGCTGTGTCTTTGTGTGGTGTGAACAACAATGCCCCGTGTAAGTCAGCAGGGAGACCGTCAGCCCATTTGTGTGCATCCCCTCCTCACATCAGTTAAAAAATCCTAGTGCTCCTGTGATAAAGAAGCACAAAGAAAAGGTTTTGTTCCTCAGTGGAACATGCACAGACCTGCCAAGCTGTTGTCAGTTCTAAACCCTTAATCTTCCAAGTGTCCTGGATGCAGTGAAGAAGGGTCAGATCTGTTAGTTGACCTCAGGTTGTGCCCATGAAAAATTGTGCCCATTCAGCAGCTCCCTGCCTTAATGTTACCAGGTGTTCCTTGCACACCCCAGAAACTCCTCCAAGGCTGTGTGGTTAGGTTCTCCCTGGCCCCTGAGCTGCCTAGAAATTATATGGAGCAGGGCTTAAGTTTTTAGGGAAGGGCTTCATCTCCTTAGCAGGCTCAAAGCTCTCTGACGCTTGGTTCAAAGACCTTAAACACCTTTTGTCTCAGGGAACAGTCTCTTGATCTCTCTTGTTAGGATAGAAGAGCTTATTCTGGTGAGATTTTAGGTGCCCAGAGGTTACATTCTGCAACAAGAGTTTTAAATTCTAATAGAAACAAAAAAGCATGAAGAGAAGAGAGATTTTAATGCTCTATGGGGTTTCTTTTTAAAGGAAGTTTGTTGTTGGTTTTTTTTTGTGAAGAGTGAGGAAAAGAAAATCTTTTTAGTCAGTTTAATATAAAGAAAAAAGTACAGCTGTGTCCTAGTACATTCTGTTGTCAGAATATCTGCATTTTAGATAGATAGCTGTGTTGATAAGTGGTGAGCAACAGGCATTTTGCTGTGGTAATAAGCTCAGTTTAAGTGGTCATGCAGGATCAGCATTTGGGTTAAGAATCATGACGTCTTAGTGGAAGAGATTTATGCTGAAGACATTAATTATATACTGCTTTAATTATAAAATATGTTATGAGGTAATCCAAGAAATGGGTATAGTCTATGTGTGTGAGTTTTTGTAAGAAAGTAAATACTGATACTACTGAAAACAAACTGTTACTTTGCCTGATAGGAACTCTCTGCAGACAGTCTAATTTTCTGATGTAGGTGTCATAAATTGTAATATTAGATTGGTAGAATATTGTCATATGAATGGGGATTAGTTCAAATCTTTACATTCATACAGTCTGTCAGTGCCCCAAATTTTGCACATCTATATTCTGTTTCAGGTTTCACAGAATTGCATTAGTTATTGTAAAGGCTGAGTTTTTCATGGTTCAGTGCATTAAATCTTTTTTTTCCCCCTTTTTCTTGGCTCTATGTCAGATTAAAGTTATTTGTAGGTGGCTGCAAGGATTTTTCCATTAATAAACCCATATTATTCTCATTGCTGCCTGGTTTCTGATTGTATCAGTGCTTCACAGGCAGTGATCTTTTTCCAATCTTGATAACTGGCTCTTGCTGTGGTAGAGGCCATTGTTCACAAATGGAGACTTGGTTTCGTAAAATAATCTAGAATTTATAAAGCTTTCCTTCTTCTGCATTTGCTTTACTGCTTCTTGAGCTTCTTACTCGTATTTTTCATTGAATTACAGTTTCTTATGTAGACAGTGTAGGAGGCCTGTTTGTAATTGAGTCTTGGTAATTAAAAGAGCAAAGGAAGCAAGTATATAAATGTACGTGTGCGTTCCCTTTTTATTATGTGTGTGGCTTTAAGGCTTGGCTTCCTCTCCCTCATAATAATTTTTCCCATTTCTGGGTAAACTGGCAGCTAAACACAATTTTAGCTATGAATTATATGCTGTCAAAATTGAGAGGAATTAACTTTTTGATTTCAGTAAGTGACCTATTACTAGATTAATTTTTTTTCTAGAGCTTTTCCTCTGATACTGTTGTAACCCAAATGTGTTATGGTAGATGCTACCACAAACCTGCTCAGGATTTGGGGGGGTTTGCTGCCTGCTAAGTAGTTTCTCTGGCCGTTCTCTTCCTGGCAGGACACTTCTTTCCCAAGGAACTGTGTCGAGCAGCACACCTTACACTTCAGATGTTTGGGAGCTGAGTGCTCCAAGTATTTCGGTTCAACCTGCCCTTTGACATTCACCTTTAGCTCACCAGTAACTGAGACCTGGCAGAAACCAGGGGAACAGAAATAGATATTTATCTCCAGCATTTGCAGTTGCATGGGCTTGGAAATAAGCTGAGTGGAGAGAGGAAGGAACACAGCATTCCCTGTAACTCGTAGAACAAATGTGCAGGTTTTTAAAGGAGAGTGGAGCACCCTGCAAAGTTAAATTTACATTTGGTTCCCCTCCAAAAATTTGCATACTACAGACTTACTCAGAAGTTTTCTGAGTAACAGTTTCCTCTAACAATGCTAAGGAATGTTTTAATTCTTTGGAATTGCAGCTGCTACCTTCTGGATGTTAATGTCCACTTAAATCCTGACTCAGGGACTGTCTGATGCTCTTTGTGCTGCCTGGGGGCACAGTGTATGTGCTGTGAGGTACCTCCAGTCGCTGGCATTTCCTTTATATTAGATGTAGTAGCAGTTACTGAATGGGTTAAATGCAGAGAGCTCATTACTCTAATTCACATGACACCACAGACCACCTAATTGACACCTGTCAATATACTAGTTCAGTTTGGAGGGAAAATCTGGGAATATTGTAATGCAGGCAATAATGATGATGAAACCTTTATATGTTGCAGCACATCCAGCAGCATTTCTGAGTAAGATGTTTTTGTGGTGACTTGCAAAAAGATCAGGCATGCTTTTTTAATCAATACAGTTCTTGTATCATGCAATCACAGTTTAGCTTCTCCTCATACCTGGAAGTGGGCAGCTCTAGGATTTGTTATTTGAGCCCAGTGCCGTGTGTGTAAGTGGGAGCTGAATATTAATCTCAGCGTGGTGTGCTGTTAGCCTTTGGTAGAACGAGATCATCAGTTATCCTGGAGTTTTATGGCACAGCCTGGAGCATCTCCACAGGCACAGCCACCTCTGACTGGGTGTTGTGGCCACATGACATGTGGGGCATGTCCTTGCTTTGCCAGTAAGCTGGAAGTGTGAGTAATGATTGTGTTTGCTGGCTGCTTTTAACTGGGGGGTCTTACAGCGTGGAGCTTTGTCTCTAAGAAAACGTATTAATTTATGAAGGAAATGTATTTTTTTCGGAGAAATATAATAGCTGTAGCACCAGAGTTAGCATTTTAAAGTTTCACAGGCAAGAATTTCTGTAGCTGAATAAATGGAGTATGTTGTTCAGTTACAGTGGGTGTCACTTCAGCATTCAGCATTTCAGTCAGTATTTCAGTACCTGAACATGTGCAGGTACCCTTTATTTCTTTAAGCAGTTGATGCCAAAATGTGGTGTCACAGTGACGTCAGTGGGAGCCAAGAGCTGCCCGAATCTTGCAGGTTTAGGCTCGTGGTTTTTGGTTTAATGAAGGAACTCCATCTAGTTTATGCTCCATCAACTGAGAGTTTATTTCACCTAGCAAATTGTGAAGTAACAGTTACTTGTCTGGTTTTTTCACCTTGTTTAATTTACTGTCTGTCCCCTGGAGCAGGAGGAACAGTTGTATCATGTTCGTACTCCAGATCACCTCACCCAGGTGGTGCCTTCCTGCTCTGGGGGTTCAGAAGGCTCTCAGCTGGGGTGAGATGACCCTTAAGGTCCCTTTGAACCCAAACCATTCCAGGAGTCTATAAAAGCAGTTAAACAACCAATGAAAACGTTTAATGGGTGTGAGAAGTTAATCCTATCCAGTATCAGTTCAGAAGCTGTGGTGTAGCAACGAATAGCAAAGCGATTTCAAATGTTTATCCTCAAAGTTGGAGATGAAGTTCTCTATTGTGTCCGTGTTATTCCTGAAGAGTCGACACAGGATGTTTTTAGCACTTCATAGAAGACTCTGGGACACCTTCCAGGTTTTTGGCTCTGCTGGCTGATCCTGTGAGTATAGAGGTGGTACAGAACTGCCTTTCAAAGCAGAGCTGGTAGTGCCCCGGAGATACAGCTCTGATGCCAAATGACCAATAGGCCCTGGATTGGTTTTTTCTCCTGAGACACTGATCACATTTTCTTGTTTCTCCTAAGCCCAGCCTAGCTCAGTTTGCTTTCAGATCATCTCCTGTGTGCTGAGTGTAACGTGGCAAGAGCTCAACCCACGGTTGGGTTTCAGCCAGAGCTGATTGACATTAAGGGGCTGTAACTGGATATGTCTGTGCTTGTGTTTCAAACTTGCTGCAACTCAATTTCTCCACATAAAACTTCAGTGCAAGAGTTTAGGTTCCTAAAAGAACTTTCACCTTAATCGTGTAGATTTTCAATTTTTTTTTTAATTTTTACTGTCTGAAATTTTTTTTTTTTTAATTAGGGTGAAAGAGAGTTAAGCTGACAAATTTTCTCATGCAGTCGGTGTAGGTTCTGGGACCTCACAGAATATGATGGTTCAGCTGGCAAGTGGTGACTAGCTCAAGAACTATCCCAGCTCTTAATAGAGTGTAAAAATAATCTGAGCTTTTAACATATGCAGAATTGATTCCATTTGTTCTTATTGTTAGAGTTGACTGCAAATATTGGGAAGTACGAATGACAGAAAAATTAAAGTTTTCCTTCTTGTTTTTTCCTCCAGATTTAAAGTTCTGTTTTACAGATTTAAAGTGCTAAGTGTTTTAAAGATGATGTTTGCTTTTTCTGTTTTATTTTAAATCTGCTGTTTTAAACCTAATTATCTAAAACCTACATATCTATCTGTCTGGATACTTTGCAGTAAGGATTGAGCTTTTTAATTTTCTTTTAACATGTGTTGCTAAATTATTAACCCTTTAGAGTTGTCATCCACAGCAACTTTTTCTGAACTTGTTCATTCCATATCATGATGCAGTTTTTTTTTCTTCTCTAAAGCAAATACACTGAACTGTGTTAATCTTCATACTAAAAGCAATTGTTTTGCTTTCCTTTGTTGCAGATCACCAGAAACTGGAAAGGGAAGCTAGAATCTGTCGCCTCTTGAAGCATCCCAATATTGGTAGGAACTTTTCATTGCTTCATACAGTATATGTCAGTTTAGAAAATGGAGGGGAAATGCAAAATAATGAGTACAAATAGCAGCTCAGAGAAGTCAAGGGCAAATATCTCCAGGCACCACTGTTTCTTCGTAATGTGGTGCTCCCTGTGAGTTCTGCCATGGGATGCAATATCCTGATGGATCACCTAAAGCAATGTGCACTGTTCCATCCTTAAGCTTTTGCTCTCTATGCCAAGTGTTTGGGGTTTTTTTGTGCAGGGTGTAGGAGGAGTTATTTCCAGTACTGCCCATGACTTTTGGAGACCTGCAGAAGAATTTCAGCTAACGGTGTTTGTGTTGCAGAATGTGGATAGAGTTGTTTTTACTGAAATGCTTATTTTATCTTGTATTCTGTGTTTGAGATTCTGTTCTTCTGCAGGAAAGATAGGTGGATGCAGAAAGCTCTGCCCCTTTTATTTCCACAGTTGTGTTTTCTACTCATGTAGAGCAAAAAAAGATATTTGGGAGGGTGGGGTGTGCCTGTCTCCTTCCTTTAGAAACAGTATAAACAGGTAAGTACCTTGATCTTTAAGGAACTGTATCTGAGTTTTTCAGTTTTTCAGACACTGAATTAGTTTGCCAAGGGTATCACTCACAGGAATATTTGCTGTACCTGAGACTTCTGCAGAAGGGTGGGAATTTCCTGTACATCTTGTTCCTCTGTCCTCATGCACGTTCTTGAAAGTTGTCCTCAGAAAAACAAGTAAACTCACCAAATGTTTTAATCAAACACGTATGCTGGGCACTCCAAAAGCACCTGGCAGTCTCCTTGGTCTTCCTTCTGGTTAGTTCTCCTCCTTTTCATTTTTAATTTAGAAGTATTAGGGACATTTTTAGATGAATATAATTGTTTCGTGCCTGGGATAAAATCATCTCCTTCCTTTTAGTAATAAACATGAATTGAAAACAAATGTGCCACTGTTCAAAAATGAAATGTCAAGTCTCTGAAACAACTCCCTTAAGCCTCGAGCTTTGACACAGAAATTTGTTTAAGGAGGAAGAGTAGTGATATCTCTGTCATTTTACCCCCACCAAAATTTTGTAAAGTGGGGGAAGACCAGGGTAGGTACAACTCCTTGTGGGGAGAAGTCATGGTCACACATCTGGTGCTATCAGGCTCAAAAGTCATTCACTTTGCTGTAACTGGAGTGTATCTCTGAGTTGGAACAAGCCAGGGAAGATGAATAAAAACCAATAATAAACGGATGCAGTGGAAGGGCTGAAGAGCACAGAGCTGAGCTGAAACAAAAGTCTAAATTGGTGCCATGTGATCACGTGTCTGCAGCTTGTTGAGCAGCTTGGACCAGTGTGGGATGTGGTCCAGATGCTGTGTGTTCCACATGGAATATTTATATTTGTCAGGGTGTGACTGGGAGTGCCAACAGGCACTGGCAGCGTTGGTGACAGGCAGGTAGGGCTCGAAGTCAGCACTAATTCTGTGCCTCACCACCTGCACCAAGGGGCACAATCCAAAGCATCCTAGACACAGCGTTCTGCCCCTGTTCCAAAAAAGATGCCATGTTCTGGATCTGCCCAACAGAAGAGTTTTCATGGCCTGGAATTAATATGCCAGGGTTTGGCAGCAGGCGTTGTATTCTGTCATCACTGAGTTTCTGCTGTCAGCTGTTCTGCCAGCTCTGCCTGTGTAGCTAAAAGAAACTTGTCAACAATAAGTATAATTTAGAAAATAAATAAAAGAAATTATAAGGAATAATTTTTTTAATGTGATTTCTAGAGGAAAGCAGAGATCTGGTTTAGTTGATTGGACAGTTTCTCAAAGATGAAATCCCTGGTTTTCTGCATGTTCCTCCAGTGTAGTTTTTTTTAATTCCTTGTCCTTTTGAATTACACATTCATTGCAGGGCACAGACTTCTGAAATTACACTTGTCATTCAGCCTTATTCTTCTTTATTCTCCCTAGTTAGCTTGATTAAGTCTCTCTTCAAAAGTGACTTTTTTGTGAAGGTGTCAGTTCCAGGTTGAGTTTATTTCTAAAATACCAAACCATTGTATGGTTTCCTCCGTTAATTATCTTCCAAATCTTGGACTGTACCAGATACTCCAGAGTGTAAACCCTTTGTTAGTCACCTTTTTCATACTTTGCCTGCAGTCAGAGTGAAGCAGCACAGCTGTGGTGAGTCACTTTTTTGATTTTAGCCTGTGAGTAAACACATTGTACTTTTCATATGGGCAAGATTTTTTGCTTTAGAGAAACAGTTGAAAAAAAAATGCTAAACATTGGAGATATTTTCCAATTATCTTTCCAGAGAAAACAGAGAATTATCAAAAACTTTTACAGATTACTTGGTTTTGCATTTCCAAGTTAGGCCTCCAATTAGTACCTAACTAGAAAAATATTCAGTTTTTTAGTTATTTCATCAGGATAAGAAAGATTTCAGGACTAAACTTCTTAACGATCGACATACCTATTTTTAGCCTCCCAACAATGCCATTTTTATACCCATTTCATATCTTATTGGCTGATGGTTTTATTTAATGAGTACCATTATGCAGTTTGGAACTCTCAGGATGACATTTAAAAAAGGCTTTCCACAGTACTCTGCAGTCAGAGGTACTAAACTTCAGAAGTTCCTCTGGTATTGGCAGAGCAGGCTTTAAACTGGATTTGAGTGTTTTCATTTCTTATAAATGCCAAATTTGAGCAAATGATTTGGAAAAGCTTGTGGAGAAAATAGAAGACTAAATCAGAATTCTTTCTTTCAAAAGGGTAAACCTCTGAAATTTGGAAAATAAGGAGATACCCATGGTAATATTTTCACTTCAGTTCCTGATTTAAATCTCCCCAAGGAATCACTGTAAACAAAATGACTGTGAGGAAACAAATGTATTTCCTGTGGACTTCTTGGAAGTATTTCTGACATCAGATTATTATTTCAGGGATCAACATAGCTGCCAAATGTTCACGAGTAGGGTATTTAAATAGGTATGGAGGGAGATGAATTCTTATTAGGCTTTTCTGCTGAAGGAGTGATTCTGAAGTAGAGTAAGATACCTTGAAGTAGTTGGTTTCACTTCTTGTACAAGTAGAGCTCCAACATATCTCTGAAAGCTGAACTTCTCTGTCCAGACTCTGGTTTGCACATAACTAATTCAGGTAGTTTTTCAACATCTCTTTATTTTATTCTTTCTTTTCACAAATCCAAGATTTCTTCTCTATCCAACTGTGTAGTCACGATGCCTAATGAATGGCATTTAGAAAAAAATAAGGGAAGTGGATTAGACATAGTATTTCCTGTTCTCCTTTTTCAAACCTCCATTTCCCACTTCAATAATGTATATAGGCAAGTTCGTTTAAAACCCACAGAATTTCCTCTGCAATTATTCCTTTCTGCCTGCAATTATTCCTTACCAATACTCATTGCTTATGTTCTGATTTCTGCCTCTTCTCACCTCACTTCTTTGTATCATTGTGGTAGAAAGCGAGTCCTGCCGAATTTTATGTGGGAATTAAAGTGAGGCAAAATCCATTAGGTGAACTTCCAGGCCTCGGGAAGAAACTTTGTGGGGGCTCAGAGTCCTTCCTTTCCAGTCAGTCTTTGGCAATACTGGTATTTTCTCCTCTTCCAGCATTTCTTGAGTAATCTGGCTTCTGTTCCACTGTGGTAGGAAATTTCTGGGCAAACACAGCTCGTGTTCCTGTGGTAACAGAGCTCCTGGGCTGCAGTGCTTTGTCCAGGAGTCTGATTCCCAGCACTGCTGTGTTTCTCAGGTTCTTACCATGAGGACGTGGCTGTAACATCCCTGTGTCCAGGGTTGCTTTTTTGCAACAGATTTTAAAATGAAAGCCTTGCTGTTTGGAGAACACAGTGCTTTTCCTTTCTGAGACTGCACATCAGGTTACATTAAAAACTCCCTTCCTTTGCTGAACAGATACCCAAAAAGTGTTTGTCGTCTTGTGTAACTATTCCTTTTCCAGCGGTTATGTGTACTAGTGCTTCCAATTTTTTTAATTTAGAAATCTGGAAAGCAAATGGCTAAGGAAAGTAATCTTCACCAAGATAACATCGCACCTCTTCACCAAGAGTTCCAGTGTCATTTTCCTGTTTTCTGTTCTTTATCTGCTTTTGGTAAACTTTGATTTCTTGTTCCTCTTTTAGCAGTCTTGTTAATCTTTTAACAGTCTGATTTCTAGTCTTGCAATCCACGTATTTTTGGTGGTGTAGTGTTGCACCATCTTATTATTGCTTTTTGTGTTGCTTTACAGCCTGCTTTGCTAAGTCTGATGTATGATATCCCAAATGATGATAAAATCTGCATTAGCCTGATGATGCAAGCTCTGACCTAGTCTGGAAAAGTATGGATTCAAACGTGGTGTAACAGGGGTGTCTTTCCCAAGCTGAATTTGCCCATGATCTGCCCATTGCCCCCTCCTCAGGGGTGTGTAGGATACATCAGGCAGGATCTATTAGTCAACTACTTCAGGCTCAGGTCTGACTCTGATGAACCTTCATCCCTGCCCGAAAGGCAAGAGCAGATTTTACTGACATGTGGCAGCCCTTCAGGTGATAAATGAAGTCCTTTTGGCAGCAGGACAGGTTGTCCCTGGATGGCTCTGTAAGTCAGGGTACTTAGAGGTAAGTAGGGCTGCCAAGCGGAGACGGTGCCATGTCAGCCCTCATAGTCCTCAGCCTGTTCCTGCAGGTCTGCCCGCCCAGCCTGGCTTTCACCTCCCCACAGCAGCACAGCCCACGAGCACAGAGGCTGTTCCATTCCTCATGGAGGGGGAAATGAGAAGCTGCATATTGCCTCGTCCTTTTTGGACCCAAGTACGTGCATGGGACTTCATAAAGTCCCAGGAATCTGAAGAGAAACACTATTAATATACAAAAATGGGGATGTGGTAAATCCTTTCTGAATTTCGTTTGACTTACTGTGGCACAGTTGTGAGTAGCTCAGCTGGCATTAGTTAAGTTTCTCTATAAACCAAAGAGAGTGAAAAT